AATACAGAATCGAAATAATTATATATACATGTATATATATATATGACAATTCATAAAAGTATTCGAAAATTAATTTATAACAGGGAAATTCACTTAACTTGAAAATTCTAATTTTAACGAAACTTTGCACAGAACATATTTTAGAGCAATTTTCTCGTAAACGAGAAATCATTTTCAGGAAGAGGAGAGGGGGAGGAGTGAGTTTCAATTTCATTTCGAAACCATTTTTACAATGACCTGATGATAGAACGTTAAATTCTGAACAAATTTTTTTTTTCTTAAAATCGAAAATTACAATTCAAAGAAACGAAAATTCGATTTCACCTTTCTTCAAATGACTTTTCCAAGCGGAAAACAAATTCCTCCGTACACGATCCATCTCGAAGTTAATAAAAAACAAATACTTTCGCGAACCACTGTTACCTGTAAATCCATTAAATTTATTTACTTGCACATACACGTTATTAGCCTTATTTTTCAATACTTTATACGATAATGGAAAATTCCATTCCCCGTGAACGAGAAACCGCATTTTGCACAGAATCTTACGTTTTATTATTAGAAGAGACGAGCGGTCGAGGAAAATTTCGGTTTCGAGATTATCTATGTCAATTTCGTTGGAGAAGTATTCGTGGGGGGGGGGGGAGCGAAACCTCCGCGATCTCGATAAATGACTGCACTTCGAGAGTGAAACGACAACAGAAAGATCGTACAAAAGGATTTTGCCCCGCACCTGTGGATTCCTGTGGCTCCTCTCTTTCCGCTTAATTCCTCCAATTTTGCACGTGCGTGCACTTCGAAAAAAAAATTCTTTCTCTCTTTTAAATCGTACGATCTTTTTTTTCTTTTTTTTTTTTTTTCAATCTTTTGATTTTACTCAGCAACGGTTTCCTTTGTTTCTAATGTTTCTCTCTCCATCCTCGTTCCATTGTCTCTGCGATTCTGGAGATTCTTCTTTATTTTCCGGTTCTGGATATCTTTTGAACGTTTTCTTTTTTTTTTTTTTATGGCTAGTTTCGCGTATTAGAGGAGGGAGGGATGATTGTGTCGTTGAAGTGAAACTCTTTTTGACCGTTGAAAAGGATAATTTTATACGTGTTTCCAGACGTTTTTTGAGTGAGCATTTTAGAATTTTTACGGAAGCGTATAATTTTCGTATTGTTGCATATTTTTCTTATTTATTAATTCGAATATTATTACAAGTTTAGTTATATTCTGAATATAGAAATTTTGAAAAATTTCGAACAGTTTATCCATAGATATTACACGTAATTTTAGAATTTTTTTTTTTGGATAATTATAAGAAAATTTTTAATCTGTATAACAATATTAAAATATTTTTTAAATTCTTCACAGTACGTTATCTACATGTTTAATATAACATGTTTTCTCAATAAATTAATTGAATATTTGAATTTAACTTTTAATAATAAAAATAATTTTGTAATAATAAAAATAAAATAATAAAATAATAAAAAACACTCATGCTTGATGAATTTATAAATTTAATATTTTTGGAAAACTATTTTTCAAACGAAACGATTCTTTGCTCTTCATCTTTCACGCATTTTCGCGCATAAGAGAATTTATCTAAATTCTATTTGTCAACACTTCAAGCATGAAAATGGAAAAGTTTGAAAAAAAATTATCCTTTCTGAAGAGACAAATTCTCATCTTTCGCATAAGAGAATTATCTTAGATCCATCAAATCTTCAAACTTAAAAACAGAAAATATCTGGAAAATATAAACTACCACTCTGTACAAATTCTTATTCATCCTTCATCTTTCGCGCAAGAGAATGATCCAGATCCATCAAATCTTCAAACTTAAAAGCAGAGAAAATCTCAAAAATATAAACTATCCCTTTTTGAAGAGACACCTCGTACAAATTCTTATTCTTATTCTTCGTACTTCACATATTTCACACAAGAGAACAATCTAGATCCAACATCACATCTTCAAAAACGAAAAAAGGTTAAAAACCATACAAACCACACTCCTCCTTCTGAAGAGACACTCTGCACAAATTCTTATTCATTCTTTATCTTTCATACAAGAAAATGATCTAGATCCATCATCAAATCTTCAAACTTAAAAACATCAGAGAAAGCTTCAAAAATATAAATTACCATTTTTTGAAGAGGCATCCTTTACAAATTCTTATTCATTCTTCATCTTTAATATATTTTCACACATAAGAGAATCTATTTAAATTCTACTTGTCAACTCTTCAGACTTAAAAAAATTTCAAAAAAACCACTTCTTCTGAAGAGACACCCTCTTCAAAAATTCTCATTCATTCTCATCATCTTTTATACAAAAAAAAATGATCTATCAAATCTTCAAAAAGCTTCAGAAATACAAACTATCCCTTCTGAGGAAACACTCCTCATTTTTTATCTTTCACACACAAGAGAATTTTGTCCAGATCCAACCAAAATCAAATCTTCAAAAACGAAAAAGGTTCAAAACCTTTATAACATATATACAAGTCCACCCTTTGTGGGGAGAACAAAAATGAATCTTCTGAAGTAGAAATGAGACAAATTTGAGAAAAATTCGAATTTCGATTTTTCGAGTGAACGAAGAAAAAAGAAATATGACGCCCGATGTACCAGAGATATCGATTCGAATCATACTCTGGGATACAATTTTTCTTTTTTTTTTTTTTTTTTTTTTTCTGGATGATCGAGGAACAATTTAACTTTCGCGTCACGTCACGAATAGAATTCTCTCTCCTTTCGATCGTTTTCCATCCTCCTATCCACCATTGTTCCTCCACCGTTTCTCCCCTCTGACAATTTCTGACCCGAACTTCCATCGTCCCCCTCCCCTCCCCTCCCCTCCCCAAGTTTTTGTGTTTTCCACGCGTTGTTACGCTCGCATGAATGCAAATTCACATTTTCACCGCTGGATTATTCGCACGCGAATTCTCCCCGCGAAAGGAGAATTCCTCCCCGTTTATCCGTTTCCAATCTACTTTTATCGACTTATTATTTTCCGCCCGACATTTTTTTCTTTCCAAACGTTTATCAATCCCGATTATACGTACTTTTTCCTTTCTTCCTTCTTTCTTATCAATGTCTTTTCGTGCCTTTCTTATTCTTTTTTTTTTATATAGTTAATTTTCGTAATCGTAATCGTAATCTTAATTAGACGTTTAGCATTTTTATTTCGATTTATATGGACGCGTGAATTTCTCTTTTTTTTTTTTTTAGAGGAAAGAATTTGATGGATGGAGAATACTGAATGAATAAATAATACATCTTGATATTGTTAATTGATTATATTATACGTGTATATATTTTTGTTGTTTCTTGTCGTTTCTTTTTATAGATTCGCGTGATCACATTATTTATTGAGAGATCGAATTTGTAGAATTTTCCTTTTTTAAAAAAAGATCGAGTAATTAGATAAAAGGAGAAATTAAATAAATAATTCGTTGATTATTAATTGATTGTTTTATATATATATATATATATTTTGTATTTTTTTTTTCTTATTGTTTCGTTTTACAGTTTCTTTTTACAGTTTTCTTGTTTTCATAATCGTAGTTATTTTCCTATTAATTAATTATACGTGTATTTTCTTTTCTTGTTCTCTCTTTTTATAGTTTCGCATGATCACATTTTTATTTAGATTTAATTAGATTAATTTTTCTTTTTTTTTTTTTTTTGAAGAGAATTGACTAATTTGATAAAAAAAAACTAAATAAATAATTTATTTTGATAATTAATTGATTATATATATATTTTTTTGTTATTGTTTCGTGATATTATATTTCGTTATTATTTTCCTTTTAGAGAAGGATTGAGTTATTTGATAAAAGAAACTAAATAAATAATTCGCTTTAAATTGATCGTTATGTAAAAATTTTTAATTGTATTGAGAGGCTAATATAGAATTTCTTCCTTTTTTTTTTTTTTTTTTTTTTTTTTTTGACAAAATGAAAAGACAAAAATTTGCGCGATAAATTTTTTATTGAGAGATATGTGTAGAATGGAAACGTTTTTTGGTTTTTTTTTTTTCGCAATTTTTACTCGAACCGAAATTATTTCTATCTTTCTACGTTTCAAATATATTATTCGAGAAAATTTATTACCCTTTAAAAATACACAATGATGATAATTTTAACGGGCGAAAATAGAAATTTAAAAAGCAATAGAATTTCTTTATTTAAATATAACGAAATATATCTCTTATATCTTACTTCCTCGATCGAACCTTCAACGATGAATATTTAACAAGAATTTAAAATTATGTACTTTACCAACTACATAATTAATGGATCTTAGATTTTCTCCATAAAACTTCCTCAAACTGTCGTAAATTATAAGCGCGGGGAGGGAGGGAGGGAGGGAAAAAAACCGATTTAATTTTATCGACGATTTTGAAGTGTAAAAAAGAAATAAAGAATAAAAAAAAAAAATCATAATATCCTCGTTCTCTCTTATAAAATTGAAGAAAAAGAAAAAAATTAAAAAAAAAATCTTCACCTCTTTCTTCCTTTCTTTTTAAAAAAAATGCGCCTTTAAACTGAATTTATTACTTAAGTAATCAACCGCCACGAGCACGCGAGAAATTGCCACGAACGTTGTTCCTCTCTTATTAATTGAAATACAGGCTTGGAAAAAAAAAAAAAAAAAGCTCGAAAAAAGTCAGAGAAAAATCGTTAAAAGTTAATCGATGATTAAATCGTGTATAATATGATATAAAGTTTGACAAAGATTTGGAAAAAAAAAAAAAAGAAGAAATCTGGAAGAGGAAACAGCGATATTGGTTAAAAAAGTTTGCACAGGACGGGTTACTCTCTCTTGGGGGGTCCTGCGAAACGCGGACAGCACGATGTCTCGAAAGGGGTCGTCCCGCGAGACGTCTAATGAAAACCCTTTAGTTTCGAGGTTTAATTTTAGTTAAACTGGTTTTCATAAGTTTGACACGCTCACTCGTGAGAAATAATGCGATCTCATTAATATTCGTTTTTCTCCTCTCTTTCCAGGAATGAACGAAATTTTATAATTGCAATGTAACAGTGGAGGAAGCAATGTGAAGAAGAAGAAGAAGAAGAAGAAGAAGAAAAGATGGAAAGGAATAAGAAAGGAGATTATTGTTCCTTATTGTCCTATCGATGCAATTCTAAAGGATATATAAAATAAGTGAATGAGTAAATGTAAAGTTGTAAGAAGTAATGTAGAAAATTAAAAGCTATTGAAATCCAAAAGATTATGCAATTTTGTGAACCAGGAAATATAAGCAAATTTAAATAAGTATATTTAATTGCAAGTAAATTATAAGTAAAAAGAATTTTGTATTACACAAATTTTGACAAATATTCTCAATTTTTCCCTTTCCAGGTGTAATGAATGAAATTTTATGATTGTAATGTAAAGAAAAAAAAGAAGAGAGTAATAAGAAAGAAGACTATAATCCTATTGGTGCAATTCTGAAGGATATGTAAAATAAGTGCATGAGTAAATATGAGAAATGTAATATAAAGTTATTATATAAGAAGCAATAAAAGAAGTAAAAAAATTGAAGGCCATTAAATTCAAAAGATTATGCAATTCTGTGAGCCAGGAAATATAAGCAAATAAGTATATTTAATTATAAGTAAATTACAAGTAAAAAGAATTTTGTATTACACAAATTTTGACAAATATCCTCAATCTTCTCCTTTCCAGATGTAACGAATGAAATTTTATAATTGTAATGTAACAATAAACAAGAAAAAAAAGAAGAGATAATAATAAGAGACAATAAGAAAGAAGACTATAATCCTATTGGTGCAATTCTGAAGGATATGTAAAATAAGTGCATGAGTAAATATGAGAAATGTAATATAAAGTTATTATATAAGAAGCAATAAAAGAAGTAAAAAAATTGAAGGCCATTAAATTCAAAAGATTATGCAATTCTGTGAGCCAGGAAATATAAGCAAATAAGTATATTTAATTATAAGTAAATTACAAGTAAAAAGAATTTTGTATTACACAAATTTTGACAAACATCCTCGATTTAGTCCATGTTTAATATTGCAAAGATATCTCGTAACAATAAAAAAAAATAAAAAGTATCTTTAAATAAAGTATTCTTGGTTTAACACAATATTTTAAATTTTTAAGGAGAGAAAAGAATATAACCTTGAACCATATCTTTCAATATTGTAATATGTTCTTCATTTTAAATACTGAAGAAACAAGGGAATCTCTTTTTTCGATTGATATTATACCAGTTTGCCTTTCTAGGCATGGCAATAATAAAGAATTGAACAGAACAACCTAACCTCAAAATAGAACGTATTTAATATTAAATCGTGCCTCTTATTTTTCGACACGAATATCAATGTCTCAATCTCAGTTATTTTTGGCATTTAATTAATTTTATATACATATTTTAAACGTGTACTTTTATTAGTGATTTAATTTTATTAATTGAAGTGAAATTGAGATAACTGAAGTACTCGGTGAATAAAATATTTTATTAGCTTGAGAATTTTATCAATTTAGAGAGATGATCGAGATATTTGATGAACAACGGATAAAGTATCGAGAATTTTATTATTTCACAAATAGCTCTATTTAAAATCCAATATTAAAATAATAATAATAATAATAATAATAATTAATAACGCATAAATTGAATTACAAATCAACAAATAAAATAAACATCCATTAAAACATTAAAATATACATTTTTCTAAAAATTTTCAATTTTAAATATCCTGCTTTAATTTTTTTTCTCTTTTTTTTTACATCTTGATTCATCGAAACAAAATTTTCAAATCTCAAACTTGTCCTCTTATATTTACCATTACTAACCTATCATTAATCAAACCTATTACACTAAATATTATACTGAATTAAAGTTGTTAAAAATCATCTAAAATTATCTCAACTATATATATTCTATTTACGAGAGAAAGAATTCACATGTACAAATTTCTAAAGAGAAATTTAGTTTAAATGTTTAATAGAAATGTTTGTACACAATGTGTATCAATGTCCATCGTTTCACGCTACAATGATTAATGGAACAATGCACGCGGACGAATAATTGTGATCACGTTAAATTGCAGAGTTGGTGCATTGAAATAAGGGTATATACCGTGTTTCAATGCAATAATTGTTGGCGTTTCAGTAATCAGATTTGAACTTGGTGGTATTTTATAATAAAGCCAGGTCTCCAGTACTTGTTATCGCAGGATAATAAGGATTATGTTGTTTCAAATTTCCCCTATCTCCAAGATACTTAAAATATTGTCTATCTCTTTTCAATCGTTTAAACAATTTTCCAATAATCTTGAATAATATCTAGACGCTCGTTTCTCACCTTGGAAATCTTTAAACTGCGAATAGAGGAAAAGCAAAAAAATTTGAGATTTTCGAGCGAGAATAAAGAATACACGCGCTTCTTTCAGAAATCTTTTCACACGATTGTGAATATTTGTAAAGAAAATTTTTTGCGCACCGTATCCAATGTGAAACGAGTGCTCAATTTCATAAATGCGCCATAAATGTAAAATGCAATATTGTGTGGCAAGCTGTGTACGGTTTGCACATCAGTAAAAAAAAAAGGGATGTTCGACAAAAAGTTTCACTTTATATAATGAAATATCCACACGATATATATACATATTTCTCCGGTTCGTTTTGTTCGATTACGTTTTTTTGAAAAGGATTAAAAATAGGAAAAATGTATAATTAAATTTGAATCGACAATTGGCGACGACAATTGCGAAAAATAAACAACAGAAAATTATTCGTCTCGTTTAAATTATCGATTTTTTTATCGCGTAAATTTCTTTTTTTTTTTTTGGACGAATTTTCAATATTCAAGAAATTATTTCTTGTTGGTTAAGTGTCGTCCATTTTTTTTTTCTTCAGAATCGATCATTAAGACAGCGGAGAATTCCATTGCCTTGATTTACCGCAGAGACACGTACAACCTTCCGGACCACTACTCGTAAAAGCACGCTACTTTGTATGGAAACCGATGAGCCCATTGCTCAATGCTTCCAGGCCAAGCATTGACTCGTAGCTTCAACCAGTGCTCGATTTTGATTTGACAGGAATCTGAATGTACACTCCAATGATGGTTTCATGTTCGAAACTAGAGCTCTCTCTTTCCCTCTCTCTTTCTCTCTCTTCGTTACATCGAAATGCACGTCCTAAATTTTACTCAAAAAAAAAAAAAAAAAAAAAGAAAAAATTATTCAACTCTAATTTATGCGTCGTAATAAATGTAAAATGTAAATTTTTCGAAGAAAAAAAATATTTGAAAAAACATTACAATAAGTAAGACGCATCTAAATCCATTGTTTTTGCTGAAAACGAACGGAAAAATGTCGATCGAGTCCTTTTTTTTATTGAGCGATTGAAATTGAACGAAGACGAAGTTAGATGAAGCGAGATAAGGCGACAGAGTAAGGCAGTAATGCGACGAGGATAGTAACTTGATAAATAAGTTTGTTCGATCGAAATTTTTGTGTATCAACTTTTCTATTTTCGTTTCAGCTCACGGATTCGATTCTCCAAAAAGTGTGTTTTGCAAATATATCAACGTATATCTTGTTTCGTGGAGCAGAATCAGCATAGATATTGGTTTAGAATACATTACTTCAAAATGAGCAAGGTTGCGGTATGGCCAGTTACACAGTTACAGATATTCGTAGAGCACGTATATAGATGCATAACACGATGTTCACCGCCGCCTAACCGTGGTTTGCAACAGGTTCCTTTCAAAGCTCCAAGTTCCCCCTTCATTTTCGTAGATAGAGAGAGTGAGAAAGAGAGAGTGAGTAAAAGAGTGGGAGGGAGGAAGGAAGGAAGGGTGGGAGGGAGGGAGGGAGGGAATAGTGAAAACGTGGCGTAAGAGAATGATCCCGCTCGATCGAACGAGCGATTAAACTCGAAGGCTCGCTGGCTTCTACTTAACGATAATTCTACCTCGCTCCCCTCCTCGAGTTGCTACGTTCAACTGTTTGCTCGTCTGTTTATTCGCCACGGTGATTGCGAATCGAATTTTAAATGGATTAGTTTGGTTTTCGTCAATTTTCGCAAACGCAAACGTTGGACAAAGTAAACGTTGTTACGTTTCGAAATTCTCCACTTCGAGTTTTGTGCGTCGATCCATTTTGTATCTTGAAGTTGATCGAAATTGATTTTCAATAATAATGAGAATCGTTTGTTACATTGTTACATAGGATTTTCCATGAGTTAATCTGCCATTCTTTTAATCTGTTACCGTAAGATGAAATAATTGTAGATATACGTTAATTGAATTTTTATATAAATTTGCAAAAAATTTGTAAAAGAATGGTTTTAAAGAATTGATGAAAAATCGGATTTTTTCAAAGCGATGGAGTAGAAAAGCGCCGGTATTTGATTGGAAAAGGAATACAAATTATAATGGATTTTATTTCCATTAAATAAATGTAATATTAACCGAGCTATGCAACTTTAAACATCATCCAGTTAAAATCCACAATTAATTCCCTTGGACAATTTAATAATTCAATGAAACGTGATAAGTAATGTAGCAAACGCGATATAGGTTGAATGTAATATGAAGATGGAAGGTCGAATTATAATTCTATCTCTTTTGTCTGAAATTAAAAAAAAAAATGACAATTTTATACTGGTTAAACTTTATTATCCTGTGGTATAATTTTTTTAAAGTACAGTTGTAATTATATTCGTATACCAGTGTTTCCAAATTTTCTTTGCATTATATCCCAAATAGAGAAAAATTTTTCACTAATTTTAACAAACTTCATTATCCTATGAACAATTTCTTCGCAAATGCAGTTCCAAAGTATAATTATACTCGTTCTTCCAAATTTTTTTTTTGAGTTATATTTCACTTTATATAAATTTTACGGTAATTTCATTTCCTTCGAATATTATATCCAACAATATTTTTCCAAAATTTCTATCCATTGTATATAAAAAAAAATATATATATATAAAAATTTTTCATTTAACAAACTTCATGCTTATCCTATAAACAATTTTTTGACAAATGCAATCGTCAAAGCATGATAATACTCGTATATCAATACTTTAAAATTTTCTTTGCATTATATTCCATATAGTTATACGATATTTATCATAATCCCATTTCCTTCGAATATTCAGCAAAATATTCTTATTCCATTCTATATCCGTCTCCTCTTATTTGTATCGATACATAATACTGAAAAATATTCGCGAATGCTACAGAAATATTCTGAATGGGGAATAAACTGCGTACACAGATCGTGGACAAAAGCGAAAAACTCACGAAGCTCGTACGTGTCACCTCGCATTCGAGTCATATGAAACACGATTTGATTTATGGCCTTCACGGTTATTCCCGATTTTCGCGCTGTCGAATTTTTCGTTTCGTTCCGTTCCGGATTGTCGCTATTCCCGATTGGGGAACGTGCAAGAATCTCTTCCCACCATCGCAAAGTGACGATTCTACTGGCATTCCCCTCGTGCGCTCTTCTTTATCCGTTTAACCGTCTCTGAGGCCGACTATCCCCGCTCAGTCGGTAAAACAGGGTGAAACGAACGATTACTCTCTTCCGTCGATTGTTCTTTTCTTTTACCCCACTCATTCCAAGCTCCATTTCTCATCCGGTCAGTTTCTTCCGTTTTTTCTTACGTCCTTACTTTTTTACAGTTTCACGTTCTTTTCCTCTACCTTACTCTTAAAATATTCTCTACTTATGAAGCTAATGTCTTTGCTGATAAAATCCATTAAGAATATTATACGACGCACAACATATATTCTTTGTATAAGTATTGATACAATTGTAAAATAGTTCGATTTCTGTGAAATATAATAGAAAATTGTGAAAAATTTTTACAATTTGGAATTGGATTTAAATTCTAAAGAATTTATTATAAATATTGATAAAAAAATTTAATTAAATTTTTTTGTTTTTATGAAACTAGTCTTTGATGAAATCTTACGATTAAATATATCTTTTGTAATCATAATTATTAAAATAATTTGATAAATTACGAAATTTGATAAATTTTAAGATAATAATAAAAAATTATACAGAGCTTTTGCAATTCCTGTTTTATCTAGAATTTTAAAATAAAAATCTTTAAAAATATTTTCTTTTCATAGCGAAATCCATTATGAATATTATATATATCTTCGCTCGTAAATATTGGAAATATAAATATTCAAATTTTAAATTTTGAAAAAGTAAAAAATTGTAAAGAATTTTCATAATTTATCCATCCATTTATATTTAGAATCTTAAATTCTAAAAAATTTATTCAATATTAACGATTAGATTCAATTTATATTGTCATATGATTTCGCTCCATCCTATGACCCAAATTCACGTGCATTTATCAAATTCAACGTAACACTAGCTTAGCTGCAATGGAGTGGACAGTTTTCGTACGGTACGCGGAAAATAAGAGTTTCTGCAATTGCTAGTCGCTTGGTAAATACAAGGTTAACCCGTAAATAACTTCAGCTGTACTAAATAGCATGTTCGGCGAAAGCTTCTAACTTTTTCCGCGCAACGAAGTTGTCAGAAATATTTCCTGCTCTATGCCCGAGTTAGGTTAGGCGACACGATTTCACTCGAAATACTTTCGGATGAAATTTTTTTTATTCTGGAAAAAAAAATAGAATTAGAAATAAATTTCTACATCACGATAATAAATGTAGACAAATTATTAGATTTCATGTAAAATTAAGGAATTTTAAAGCTTTCAATTCTATTTATCGAAAAATTTATCGAAAATTATGTTAATCTTCGATTCAACAATTCGATATAGATTGAAAACTTCGTTTCATTTTGTGCAAGATGATAGATCTTTGTATATTCGATATGAATTCAATTGATATATATGACATATATTGATATATATTGATATATAATTTTTGTGCGAGAAACTTCGAGTTTAAGTTAGATTAAATTAGGTTAAGTGATGAATGAAAGAAATATTCGAAGATTAAACATATAGGATTCAGGTTGTGTTTAATTAACCTATTAATCACAGCATTAACTTCGTTAATTTAACATCTCTCCGAGGAGAAATTTAGAATTTCAAATATAAATAAAGATAAATTATAATGGTTGAATCAAGTATCAATGGATCAAATTATGCAATGGAATAAATCCATTTGAATATTTTATATTATAGATCATCAAAGAGCAATACTCTTCTATCTGAATGAAATATAATAAAAAATATTTATTTATAATTTTTCACACTAAATCATTATTAGCACATTTACTTTTTCTTAATGAATGAATGGATTAGAAACAAATATATTTTACATACATTTCTAATTGTCTGTAATAATATATCGAATCGTTGAATCGAATACAATTTTTAATAAAATTGAGAAAGTTTTATCAAAGATTTGTTTCTAATTAATCTCTGTATATGTTTCTGTAACGTGCATGGAATCGTTTCGAAACTATCAATTGTTCACAGAAATGGGAACTGTTAGGAGAAACTTTCAAGATTGTTCGGTCCCCGAGCGGCTCGAACGAAAAGACTAACTACGCAATTAGAGGTAACGTTTCGAATCGAACGATAAAAGTAAGGGAACAAAACGTGTGATTAACGCGTCAAAACCTTCGAAAGAGATCTGATTTGTAGTCAACTTATTTTTCAATGTGTTTCATAAACATGATTTATGATAAAAAAAAGAAGGAAAAATATTGTTTATTATTGTATAATAATAAATGAGCCAATTACTTGAAAATTATTGATATTTTAAAGCGTGAAACCTATTACTTTTAGTTAATTCTTTATTTCAAAAATATTTTTTTAAAAAATTAAAATCCAGTTGTCAGAAACATTAAAAAATTTTTCTCGTGGCTGAAAAAAATGGCATTTCAAAATTAAAGTAGTAAAGTCTTTCCTTTATAAAAGACTCTCTACAATTTACAGTATGATTTTTTTTTATCATGTTATAGAATATATTTGAATATTAGGATCAGAAAATTCAAAAAATGTTAAATTTTTGTTTTCTGCTTTTGTAAAAACAAACGGTACAGTAAATTTTAATAAATAAAGAGAAAATTTTAATTTGAAAGTTTAAAAAAATATCTTTACTTTTCTATTTATTTAAAAATTAACTCAGAATTGTGAAAGTAAAAGATTTCAAGTAAATTTTTTTAAAGTAAATTCAAACCATTTTTTCAGTAATTAATTCACTCGTACTTCCTATTAGAAATTAAACATTTACTTTAAAAATTCCAATTATTCTTCATGCTCAAAAAAATTTGTATTAATATAATTTTTACATTTATTTTTTTTTATTAAAGAAAACATTCAATATTAATGTTATTTAAATAACGTCTTTGTAACTAACGCTATGTAATAATACAATGTAATTTAATCCATGATAGCATATAATAATAAAAGCAGTCACACAGTTTCCACGAATTTGAAACAAGAACATTCGTAAGACGCGTAATATGCGCGAGAAACTTGGAGGAGCAAAGTTTTCAATTTAAAATAGCGCGTGAGACCAGAGGACGCGAACCTCCTTAATTAATTTCCTGTGGCCTTAATTAATTCACGCGATCGAAAGGAAATTCGAAATCAAAGGAGAAAGCGGCGTGTAACTTGTTTATTGAATTCCTACTGCGTCCGTACTGCGGCTAAATGCGAGGGAATGTTTAAACTCGGGCAAGTGAATTAAGAGTATCGTGTAACCAAAGGAAGTTTCACGAGTTTCAAGAAATTAGCAAAGTTTGCGCCGCGCAATGCCTTATCCCCTCCACTCGATCTCCCCTCCCGCTCCCGTCTTGTCGAACACGAGAGATATCGCGGTTCAATGGTTCCAAATAAGGCCGGGGGACAAATAAAATTCTTCTTGTTATTTCTCGGCTCGAAGTTGGACAAACACGATATTTGTCCCAATGCAACGATAGGCTCCGTGAAATACTTCTCTCCGTTTCAGAGTTATTATACGTAGCGGCTGCGAACTGTGTACGATTTACTCGTAGCCTGGATGAGGCATGGATGACATTTATCACGAGAAGTTTTCTATTTGCGGGTAAAAAAGGATGGAAGAGTGCACAAAAATGTATAAATTTATATATTATTGGTATTTTTCGGATATATCGAAAAAAAAATTTTTCTAAAGAATTTTATTCTAGTATTCCAACTTTTATATAAGTGACGAGTTTTTTTTTTTTATAAGAAATGCATTAATCATAGTAATAAAATTAATAATAATAATAATAATAATAGCCACAGATTGTTAATAATAACAACAGTTAATTAGCATTATGTTTTAGTTACTGAAGATTGAAATAGGAACACAACATTATAAGTACTTATTGCACACATACTGGAAAGTTCAGGGAATTTCAACTACAGTAACACATAAGTACATATACCTGTAACATTTCCATATACCGCTACTGCTAATTCCAGTTTAAATTTTCAGAGTGACTTTGAGAAATCTCACACTTGGTTCCGTACAACTTAAATTAGAAACAGAATATAACTTTTAAAATAAATAATTATTATACCATATTCCTCTTTGAATAATAAGATAACGATGAAGATTTAAAAGAAAGAAAAGATGGTGTATATAAGAAAGCTACGTGCTATTAAGTTCTAAGTAATAAAGGTTAGGTCAGATATTTGTAGGAAAAGGACAGCTAAGAGAATTGTGTTACGGTGTGTGAGGTTCCTCTAGTGCCAAGTATAGTAGGTCAGCCGCAAGTTATTTCATTATGTTTAAGCAGAAGCTACTTATAACTAGATTATGTATTATATTAGGTGTATGTGCATTTATGAGAAATTTATATATATATATATATATATATATATATATGAAATATGCGTATAATGATGTAAAAATATACCGAAAGTAAAGTGCTGTGGTATAATATTTCAAGGATGAAACAAATCTCTACCTAGATTCCATTTCTTTCCTGCACTCATAAAGATACTAATTTGCATAGAATCTGTAATATACTTAGTCGACATGCTAATACTGTTATTACTATAGTATTATATTATCATATTAATTAACGCTTACATCAAGGATATTGTTAAAGGATACAACGTACATAATTACTTAGTACTGTATTTCTCAACTTTTCTTGAATTATAATCTTACTTTTATAGTAGTCGAGTAATCTGTTCACTTTTCCATATCTCATGCTTAAAAGAATAGAAGAAAAAAAAAATTAAGGAGAAAAAAAAGCATTTCAATAATAAAATTACGACACGATAGATTTCAAGATAAGCTGAATGTATTACAGAGCTAACAGTTCACAGTGAATACGATCGTTATTGGTCATACGAATTGAACAAATGTTACACATCTACAATGATATTGAGAATGGTAGTAACATCTTTTAATATTCGCGATGAACGACTGTTTTTATATTCGGTTCGAATCTAATATCCAAGAAATTTATTTGCTTGTCGTTTCTCTTTCCCTTCTCCATATCTTTCGCGCACTTTTATTCTTTTCTCCACGTCGTCACGGAACGAGCACTCGAAATAGCACTCGTAAAACGAGGCACTCGATAAAAATCGTGGCGTGATGCAACATCGGTAAAGCGGTTTCCTTTTTTTCGCCACCGCTTCTCTTCCGATCACGAGAGCCATTAAGCTTTTCCACTAGACTCTGTCAAGTGTCTACTAATATAGGTTCCACTAAATCATTCGCGCTTCCTGCGTTCCTAAAAAAAAATGTGTGTGCAGCGATCTATTCATACACTCGTTCTGTATGTTCATAAAAAAAAAAAAAAAAAAAACAAAACAAAACAAAAAAAAGAGTTCGAAAATATACACTTTGTAACATGATAAGAGTATATGTATGATATTTATTTATGTGAATAAAAGTACAAGAAAATGGTGTCCATTGTGTAAATTGAATTTCAACGAATAAACGTAACATAAAATCGTTAATTGACAGAAAAGAAATAAAAATTGAAATGAGTGAAAAGCCGATTTATTTGAATAATATTGCTTGCGAAGTGAACTGTACTACCGACCGAAAGCTTGGAATCGCAAATATGTATGTTTCACAGAACGTATTCGAAAAAAGTTAGGTTAGAGTTCTCGTAATAAATTTTTTCATCAAGAATCTAATGGATTAAATCAGATTATTGATTAATCTTTAAAAATTTAAGTTTATTATAACTTATAATAAGATTTCTTAAGCCACGTCCATGCACGATGCATAATTTAAACAGTTACTAGGCTTACAAAACTATTAATAGAGCTTATGGCCGTTCTGATAAGTCTGTTATGTTCTTTAGTGTGTATAGACTTACCGAATTGGAACAGACGTACATGGTTAGTGATATAAGTACTTAGTTATACTAGCGAATGAACTCAATGATCTCATCGAAGAGGATTCTCAAACAAATCGAAACCGAATCCAGCCGGAATTACAATTTCTTTTTATTCCTATCAGATTTATTGTCAATAGATGAAACGGTTGAGCCGGATCGCGTGATACCGAACCCAATTACAAACTGGCCATTTTCACGGCATTTCGATTAGCGTACGAATAGATTTGACATGTTTCCATTCACTTTTAAGTCTGGAATAATCTTCTTTTCATTCGTGCCACGATTTTTTTAAACATCTTATATATGGATATCTATATATTCTTACATTTAAATTTTTTAAAATTGCAAATTTCAAAATTCGATGAACGTAGATATATTTCGAAAAATATGAATTCGAAATATAAAAATATTTAATTTCGTGAAAAAATAAAAATAATCGAAATTTATCGTTCGTCGATCTTTTCGTTATTTTCTCGATATACAGGATTAAATTGCGCTCTTTCAAAGTGCGTGCATACTTTTTCTCTCTCTCCTTTTTTTTTAATGCGAATTTTATGGCACATATTTTTGCTACATGCTTTTGCTTTTTGTTTGACGATTGCAAAGCGTTTTATATATAAAATTTATATGTATATAACTATACAAATGTTTGCGGAATGCTATCCATATATTCGTTCTTGCATATATATTTAATATGATATGCATATCGAATTTGTTAGAACATCGTTGACCTATTTTTGACGAAAAAATTAATAATTATTTCGTAGAAAAATAAATGGAAATATCTTACAGTTTACATGTAAAATAATATGCCCCTGTTTAATTTGGTATAAATGATAAGCCAAACCAAAATAATAAAATAATCATTAATCATACGTAAATAGACCTAGATTCTTACACAAAAAGAAAACAATTTTCAGAACAATTTTCAGAAGCATTTGCGATTATTAATCTCTTTAAAGTTCTCGAATCAATCAATGACATTCGGCTATAATTGTTCATGCATAGGTTTTCTAAATTTTTCTGCTCGTTTTATTCTTTTATCGCTGTTAATCAATCTGGAGTATCGGAGAAGAGCGTGCTATCGGTATCTACATATTCAGTTGCCAGAGTCACGTGTCACGAATAAAACGTTATCCTCCAATTGTATCTAGAGCAATAATACGTCAAACTCTTTGTGAATAAATTTTTTTCTATTTTATTTTCGACTTATTTTTTCAGTCAATTTTTTTTTTATTTTACCATAATTTCAAAGATATTTTTCTGTATTTTTCTTTTTTATTTTTTTAAATTATACTTTTTAATCAAGAGTCCTCTGCTTTCTTAGTTCCATCAATTTTTCAGACTTTGTATGTTTTTTTTTCTTTCTTCTTTTTTATAGCATTTAATTATGCTAAAATTATAATTGTGTTTTTTTATCAAGTCATTTTTTTTTTCATAATTTTGCAGATACCCTGCACTTTACACTTTTGATAATACTACTTTTTTTCTCTTTCAATTCGTTGCACTTAATTATTTTATGTCATAAAATTAAATAAGTGAGTGCACCATATTCCACCAATCTTCAAATATAATTTTCTCTTCCAAAAAAAAAACAGGATCGAAAAAATTTTATCCTCTAAAATTTTTCGATTTTCATATTTGCATTTTTAAATCAAGAATCATCGACCGTGTACCACAATTTTCTCGATATCCTACGTTTTATATTTTTTTCGGCATTACTTTTTTCTTTCACATTATACCATAACAATTTTTAATATTCCACGAATCTTAAAATATAATTTTCCCCCCAAAACAAGATACTATATGAAAAAATTTTCCTCTAAAATTTTTCGACTTATGTTATCGATCGTGTACCACGATTTCCTAAATATTTTCCACTTTTTCATAACATAACTTTTTTCTCTTTCACATTCGTTCCATTCAATTATTTTACCATAACAATTACCATAACAATTAACTAAATAAGTGCCTATATTTATATATCATCTAATTTTCAAATACAATCTTTCCAAAAAATCCTGTATGAAAAAATTTTATTCCCTAAAATTTTTCAATTTACATTTTTAAATCAAGAGTCTCTAACTTATCGACCGTGCACCACGATTTTCTATATATCCCCGCACTTCGCACTTTTTCGATAACATCGTTTTTTTTTCCCTTCCTTTTCCCCCTCCCCTCTTTTCACATTCGTTGCATTTAATTACGGTAAAAATAAGTTAGCGCCACGGTAATTAATTTCGAATTCCCGGGTAAAAGTTTAATCAGAAAGTTTTACTGGGTTCGCACGGAGGGAGTATCACGAAAGTGGCTTTTTAAGGCGCCGTAAAGGGCGGAAGCGACGAGTGAACTTAAAGATATGGAGGAGTGGATGCCACCACCTTAATCTTCCCTACGGAAAAGTTTCCCTAGTCGCAAATCTTTCCTTCGCGCTTCCGTGAACCTCTCTTCCCCGCCCCCCTTATACGGCAACGAGCGTGTAAATCAGGGGACATTCGACTTTTTAAACAGATTACGCCATTTTCGCGGAATACGATGAAACGTTGTATTCTCCGTCAACGTTCGAGAAATTGAAAAATCGAAAAAGATATCACTACCTCTATTTCATCCTCGGAGATTCGGATATAATGTGTTATCGATATAGGAATATGAATGGTCGATGAAGATAATCTATTTTTATTTGCTCGAATTTGGTGGAAATTGTCGCTTGTTGATGGACGATGACTAAGCGCGAAAAAGTTTTATGATACAAGAAGTTACGAAGTTTTTTAATGTTGAAAATTTTATTTGTAAACGTTATGCGTTATTTTTTATTTAATTTTATAATATACATAAGTGTGAGGATTTTTGTTGAAAAAAATAATTTTAATTTTTGATGTAAAAAGTTCTTTTTCATATTGAAATATGAAATATATTCATATTTTGGCATTTGTAGATGTTGCGTTATTTTTGATCTAATTTTTTATATATAATTTCAATTTTGAAACGGATTAAAATAATGGAAAAATAGTTGTCGTGAAAATGATTTATTTTTATCTGATGGAAAATTGTTGCGTGTGATGGATGGCGGATGGATGAGAATTTTTCATAAGAAAATTTTATGATGTAAGAAATTATTTTTGATATTGAATTTTATTTGTAAATTTGTAAATGTTGTGTTATTTTCTATCTAATTGTAGTTTTAAGGTGTAAAGATTTTTATAAAGAAATTTTGTGGCATAAGAAATTAATCGTAATTAGAAATTTTATTTGAAATACGGCGAATATTTTCGAATTATTTTGTAATTTTCTATTGTTAAGAAAATTTTTAAAGTTTGCGAATGAATAGTAGCAAGTAGTTAACTGTTCGCAGAGAAACTTGGCTGTCGGCGGCTTAAACAAAATTTTCCTCTTTCCTTCGAATTTTTACTTTTTATTACCAAGTTTCAAACGTTGGACTTAACGAATGATTGTATAATGTAGTAGAGAAATCATTTAAGTAAGTGTCCCTGAACTTTCTCATAATCTTCTGAAAAGTTTAGTTTGCCTAAAAAGATTTAAAATTTTTACTTAAATATTAATTTTTTTTTCTTCATATCGAAACAAGATCGAATGAGATATAAAAATTCGATTTTAAGTAGTCAAAGATGTCGGTATTTCGAAAGACGTTTAATTAACGAAGTTTTTCGAGGATCTAATATGGAAAAAAATTCACTAACTTGTCTGATCATCTTTTACGTCCACGTATCACTCACCTTTTTTTTGATTTCCGTTAAGATCACGAAAAGATTTCCATGATATATTTTGAATGTATGCTAATTTCATGTTTTATATTTTCGATGAAATTCAATCGTGATGCATATTTTCAAAGAACTGATGAAAAATTGAAAAACTGAAAAAGTAAATTATCAATCAGAAATTTGGAAACATCCTAATTTAGGTTAGAATTATTAGATAAATCTAATCTACCGATGCAAGTTCATAAAATTAATATTTAATTTTTTATTTAATATAGATAATGTAGAATACAAAATAAATAATGTAGGTAATGTAGAATTAATAGTAAACAAGTAATGTAGATAATGTAGAATTAATAATAAATAGGTAATGTAGATAATGTGAATGATTAAGAATTAAGCAAATATTTAATTTAAAATATGGATTGCCAAAATGTATGCGAAAATTATTATTTACCTGATTCATTGATCCATTAATAATTGACACAAGATTTGATGTTAAAAAAAAAATAATCCAAATTCTTTCGAGAATGTCAATTTGTTTCTCACAGTTACAGATATGATATTATACTCTTACAATTAGTATAGTAGAAAATTAGATCGAAAATAGGATTCCTCTAATTTGTTCTTGAGGGATTCGTTGATACATAAGGGACTTTATCACGCGGACCATTTAATGGAGAGGAAGGTTATCCTCTGGGACAAAGGGACTTCTCGTTAACTCGCTCCTTTAACCGTTTCGCTAAACTCCCGTGACGTCTTGAGCTTAAAATCCCGTTGGGTTGCTTGTCACTCTCTACTTTCGCCTTGTCTCACTATTCCTTCAATTCATCACACATTCCACTCTGATAATTGAGAAATCCTCCGAATAATCCTTTTTTTCAGAAAGATTTTTGATTTTTGTTCCTCTTCTTTATTTCCTTCATTAATTAATTTTTTATTACATTCGTGTTTATCTTTTCCTTCCGCCATATTCGTTATGAAATTAAAGTTTTTCGAGAGTTATATATTAACCTATATATGTTGCGAAAAACTTGCTAAATCCAAGTTAGATTTTTGTCTATTTATATATTTGAGATTAATACGATTATTTTAAGTGTGCATGCTGTTGTAATATGGTATAGATGTAGTCTTTCTTTACATACATTATAATTTATATGATTAATCTGTTAATGTATAATTTAAATTCCATTTACATTTCAATTTTCTCTCGATGTTGCTTTTTCAAATTTTAAATTATTTCAATTTTATTTGTTTATTTTTATTTTATTTTATTTTATTATTGTAATTGTTACATTTTTTAAATTATTCTTATTTCTTTTTAAATTTTACTCCTTTGCTTTCAATATTTCCATGTTCTATCCACACTTGTCTTGCTTTTTTCCCCTTCATTAAATTTTTGTAACCATCCATTCTCTCTCAACATTTCACGCTCTTTTCCCTCCACGTTTTTTTGCACACGTAAACATATCCATTCCCGCGCAACACGTGCATGTGACTAAACGTCGCCACCACGAAATCTCCTCGTATTTTCGTGGCAACACTATCTTCTATTCACCTCAGAAAAGAAGGATAGAGATGTCCATTATACCTTCCGCACGTATACGTATAATAAACGCAAGCATTCATCTAAGCGCCACCTAGCGCTAAAACACGAAAAGAAAAGAAGAAGCGAAACTAATTTTGACATAGTCAACTTTTCTACCTTAGTTTCCTATTCGAAGTTCAGTTATAATTTAACGTGATACAGAGTGCTAAGAGGATGGATAAAGTCGATGAAAGTGCGAATCGGAGAGCAGTATTTTAAACTGACCTGGATTTTCTGTTTCTCCCGATAGAAGGAATATCTCGTATGATGCTACTAACCTTCTCTCGACCAGTGATCGATATTTAAATGAAATTCTACAAGTAGATCGAAAAGAGGAGCAATATGCAGTTTACAAATAAGTATGTTGATTTCATTTATGCAACTATTTAATTTTTTAGGATGTATTTAATATATTTAATATTTACAATGTATTTAATATATTATATAATAGATAATAATTCGGTTCTAATTATTTATAATTGATTGATCTGATTTGTAATATTCATGTTAGAGATAGTGTGATGTTTATATAATTTTATGTATTTATTAAATAATTTGTTTGCATGTGTTTATTATAATAACTCAGTTTTGATCATTTACAGTTAAATATTGTAATTTTCACGCATTAACACGATGTTTATGTATTTGCTTTGCTATACACGTATTTAATAAAATATATAATAATTCGTTATAATAATTCATAATAATTTTAATCATTACGTTAAATCATTTAATTATTATGATTTATAATTTTTTGATGATGATAATACGTATACAAATAGAAATATTGTAATATATTATGCTATTGCTAATTTTTTAATTTTTATTAGAAAATTAATTGTTATATTTTGAGAAAATTCAAATCGACCAAAATATCTAAATTTTCACGAATGGTAGAGTAATTCATAAAATGCATTCGAACAATTTTAATCGTTCTACAATAGTAGCACAGGCCGACAATCAATCACGGTAAAGGTGAAAATTAGTCGCGCAAAACCAATGGCTGCTGTAAATTCATAAACGTCGCTTTGAACGAGATGAATTTCGGTAACACCGGTGGTTAAAATTGTGAACGTGACAACAGAAAATTTTTATTCAAAAGTAAAAAATATGAATTCGAAAGAAAGATTTTAAAAAAGTAATTTTTTACTATATATGAAAAATTCTTATAGTTTTATATAATGTTCACTTGTAAAAGATTATTTTCGAAAACAAGTTTCAAACAAGTTTTAAGAATTGTATTGAGTATTTTTTCACAAGTAGACACAATGAAAATTACTTTTGAATGATTATTCTCAACATAGTTTATTTGTAAAAAAAAAATATCGAGAGTAATTCTCAAAAATTTTACTCTCAAATATTCGCATTCTTAAGATACAACTCTTAAGATACAATTTGAGAGTAAAATTCTTAAAATTTATTTTTAAAGATATTTTTTATAAATGGACAGTAATTTTTACTTTCAACACAATGTCTATTTACAAAAAATATTCTCGATAATTTTACTCTTGAATATATTACATCCATTTTTATAATAAAAATTCTTGAAATTGGTTCCGCGATTGTACCAACATTTGTTACATTCTAATAAATCTATGATAGCCGACGTTGGTACGCCTGACGCGACTCTGCGCGTAATCTTCCTAAAATTTCAGAGACGACATAACCTAAATCAGTCAGTACTGCAATTGCGACAATGCCGATGGCTGTGAATCGCGGAAGGAGGACGACAGACGACCATGCCTGACGACAGGAATATAGAAGAAAAGAACGAAAAGGAAAGGAAACGTGAAAAGGTAACTGAACGAGAGGAAAGGAGAGAAGAGAGATAAAAAAAGAGAGAACACCTCGGGCGAAACATCATGTTCGACCTCACATCGAACCAGAAAATTGTACGATGCGCGAAACAGACTCGAACCAATTTTTTTTTCTTTCTTTCTTCGTTCATCTCTTATTTTTTTCCTATCTCATCCCAAATGTATATTTCTTCTTCCTTTTTTTTTTTATTTTTTACCATAGCAAAACTGCAAGTGCTTCAAAACGAAAATCTATGCAATCACGGTTATCGCTGTTTGTTCACTTCCGTCGTGTTTCAAAAGCGAAAAATTGCGATCCAGATCAAAGAGGCACTTTGATTGACAGAATGAATAAGTGCACAGTCATTTCTTTTTTTTTTTCCCCTCTCTTTTTCCGACCAATGGGAAATTTTAATATACCGAAGAGAAAATGATTCGAACGAGTTTGAACAATTTTTAAAATATCGCAGGAGCAATAAACGTCTGTACTTTATATGTAAAATCTGGATATACGTAGATAAAATTCAAACCGTTGAATAAGCGAATTCTGTAACATAGATATATTTTTATTTTTATATTTTTATTTTTGTGTAATTTAAATATCAAGAATTGAAAAATTACAAAAGGAATTTCAAAAATCAAATATGAATATTTGTTCATTTTTTTCTTTCATATATAAAGTCTCTCATGATAAGGCAAAATAGATTGTGATAAAAAATTTTTTTGAAAATACATATGACGAAAAAAAAAATTTAAATATGCTTTTTCCTATTCATATTATGATTACAATTGAAAATAGGAAATAAAGTTACATATAAAATAACGAGTGCTATGTATCGTTACCGCATTGAAGGTACCAACAATTGTTTTTAATTTTATCACTCTCCACGTTGACATTATTGATCCGAAGAAAATTGAACACTCGTATAAAGTTTAATTATAGTAACTTCTGATAAAATAAAATATTATTTGTATGTTTATCGTTGAACACGCAATTACTTTTGTCCACTCTATTCTTCACCCGCACCTGGATATGATACCAGTATAATCAAATTTTTGATCATGAAAATTTAACGACCTTCCCATTGTATTAAAATCATAGAATTTATTAGTTTTCCTTAACATTTTTCATTTTGTTTGGTTATTGAAAATAATTTCAATCATATTATAAACTAGTACACCATCGATAAACTTAACCTCTTTTTAATATCATAAAGATAAAAATTTGACTTATTATATTTTCTCTTGTGATTTTCATTTAATTAATGTAAAAAAATTTTTTTTTTTTATTTTGTGATTGTTGAAAATAATTTTAGTTATATTCTAAAATAGTATAGCATCAATAAACTTAACCTCTTTTTAATATTCAAACCCAAAAGATCAGAACCATATTTTTCCATCATATTTCTTCCTACGATTCTCATTCATAATTAATATTTTCCAAATAAATTTAAAAAAAAATTCTGCGAGTTTGGAAAAATTTTATATTATTCCACGTTTTTTTCAGCTATTACATTAAGGTGATTGCATTTACCTAGAATGCATACCTCTTACTTCACTGCGCAGCACTCTGGTATACTGGATATTAAACTTAATTTATTTTGTCAATGTTTAGTATCAAGGAGGATCGTACAATTCATACAATTCGATTTATCTTCATTTACTCGAAGCACTCCATTTGTTAAATCGAACAGAAATATTATTCTCAACTATAATTAATTAAAAAGTTCAAACTGATTCAAATTTTAAGATATTATTTAAATTTTTAATTGTTATCAATAATGTAACTAAATAAATTTTCAACTTTTGAAAAATTACATAAATATTTTTTTATAAATATATATATAATTTTCATACATTTCAGTTATTCTCATCATATAGTTTATGTAATGTGTATATTCCGTTTCCATGGATGGTCAAGTATTCGATCAACAGAGTTTAAATAGATGAGTATAATGTCTGATGTTATAGTATGCATCGGTTACTTTCGCAATTAATCAAAAGTTTCTCGTAATAGTGAATGAACCTGCTAAATTAAGGATAAATTAGCGTATAACGTGACCTCGTACCTGGTTATCAATCTCTTATTAACCTCATCGAAGTTCGAAAAACTATATAATATCGTATTAACTACACTTATCGTAACATATTATTATCGAGAGAACATTCCACGTTATATCGAATTCGTGTAATATATTGTAGATTTTATTGCTTCTTCAAACTATGGGAGATTAATCTGTAAGTATATCTGAAAATAAAGAATTTTTTTTTACTGTAGATATTAAAATGATTAATTTCATAGAGATCAATCACTTGATTTCTGGAAAGTTAACCTCTTCAGGGACACTGTAAGATATTAAAGGCACAAGTTACTGTATTTGTTACAGTAATCATCAAATTAAAAAAAAATATTATCAGTGTTTCCAAGTTTTTTATTATTATTAAAATATTGTGCATTAAAAAGTTTTTCGACAGATATTAATTCAAAGAAAAATTAAATGTATACATATGTGTTATCACTGTCTCTGAAGAGGTTAAATACTAATTATATAGGATAATTCATTCAAATTGACTCATTTGAATATCTTGTGATAATGATGCTCTCATATACTCTCATATTGTTAGTATTATTGTATAATATTTTAATTATATTATATTAAAAGACTGTGGTAATACTAAAAATGTTTTAAACAAAAATTATGATTATATGATATAAATAAGTTTTTTTTATATGGATATATATAGAGAATATGTAAAGATCACTTGTTAAATATAATTATGCAATTAATAATAATAATATATTGGTTAATACATGTCTATATTTTCTATAAGAAACTATTTATATCCATTTATGTTATTAAAATCATTAATTTAAAATTTAGACTTTACGAGTAGCTAAAATTTATAAATTCTCTGACATAAAATAATAGATAAATATTAAAGTTTCAGTATTTGGTATATTAAATTAAGTTAGATTAGATTAGATAAATAATAAAAATAGTTTGAAATATAATAATAATAAAAGTAGCTTTTTTAGACATTGTGATAATAAATAAATTTTATTGTTACTTATTATTTATGATATATACTTTTTATTTATCTATTTATTTATAT